TTTTTGTCTTCATCTTTCTCCATATTTTCCCCAAAACCGGATTGCTTCTGCCAATACCTGAGAAACGTGCCTGTGTTTGTCACCCAAATGCCTTTCTTAAGTATGCTTCAATTCCCAGTCACAAGGCTGTCACATAAGTAGAGAGGAGTAAAAGTCTATTCTGATCTGCTTCTAAATCTGTCCTCATTAATTCATCTCAAAGAGCCACTGGTTAAAATCCATGGGAGACACCCCGGCAGCAGCATTGCGGTGTCTGCCAGATTACCTCCTACAGAAAGATTTCCAAGGCTGCCATCAGCAGTGCCTCAAGACAGATTAACAAGGAAAGAGGAGCTGGCGGGTTGTTGAAGGAGATAGCTTCCTGAGGCCACGGCACAGCCTTATGAGAGGTGTTATAATGTACTCCTGTCTTACCTGTTCCCATAACCAAGCAGTCAGTCAGAAGCAACATTCCACACAGCAGCTAGCATCTGCTTCTCCTCTTGTATAGGGCTGTAAACTGTAAACACAATACAAAACACCTTGCAAATATTTGTAGACCTTTCCACAGCACTAGAAAATAACTTTTGAAATGAGTAATATTAGCTGAAAAATAGGGCCTATGTGCTATTATACCTATGATATTCTAGCACTTTTGATCCCTTATAAAAGGCATTTGATTTGCAGGAGCTCAAAAGGAGTAGGACCAATGTTCTTCACCCTGAGATGAAAAATAAGTTGTTGTATATGGCACTGTAGATTCATTTGGCTGTTTGGTGCAGACTCCTTTTGTTTTCCCTTTTATCTAACTGACCAGAACAACCACTTGTCACCTCATGCCTTAACTTTAGGAGTCTCTTATCCACATTCTTAACCTGTTGTTCCTTCCTCTTCATCATTTCTGCTCTCCTATTTTGTTCATGCAGTGTAGGGGACTCGGGTGGAATCCGTATCGAATATCGTAATAAGGCTGCACCACTTCCCCTTCCAAGAGGAAGCTATCCCTAGACCAGACAGTCTTCGGGAGCCATCCATCCCCCTGAAGAACTCTCCTGGGTTCCAGATTGAGGGAAAAGGTTGTGAGAAGTAGAAGCAGCAGATGGGGTATCAGCAGAAAAGGGTTGATAACCTCAATTGCTTCTTAATCTCTTCCTCTGTTTTCTTAATTCACTGTTCGTTGCTGTCCAGTTCTCTCTTACTTCCTGAGATACAAAACAGTAACCAGACAGACCAATAATCCTTTTATTTTGAATGGCATTTTTCTGAGAATCTAAATACACCAATTTGTGTACTTCAAATGAACCTTCCTCTAGCCATTGCAAAGCAGGATTTTTAGAAGTGTACCTCTTCCAAACATGAAAGAGTAAAACACTAAACCTTATGGCTTATAAAACACTAAACCTTATGGCTTTAAGAAAGAGACCCACTGAGAACATTCTAGGCTTCTGATATGTTTCTGCTGTTAACCGGTGGTGAATCAGATAGGAACTTCAAGCTCAAAAGTGACTCAATTTTCAGAGTAGATTTGGAGTTTTCCCTAGGAACTCCATCTCATGGTGCCAGAGTAGTTGGAGAGGAACTGTTTAGCAAACATCCATAGTCTCTTGCCTAATCCAATGTAGCCACAAATCCTCAAAACAAATTTGCCTAATAAAAGAACTGAATTAAAATATACCTACCATTCTTATTGCTAAGTTGTTGGAATATTTATTAATCAGCCTTCCTATTGCTGGGACAAAATACTCAGCACCCACAACCTAAAGGAAGGGAGGTTTAATTCAGCTCAGAGTTTTGAGGAATTCAGTCCATGATCAGCTGGCTACAACACTGCAGTAGCATAGTGGATGGGCCTGGTGAAGGGAAGCTCATCTCACAGTGGCCAGGAGGCAGAGCTGAGGTGGGGTTGGGGCGGCGGTGAGGGGCAAAGACAGGGACAGAAATGCACCCTTCTAGGACACATCCAGGAGACCCACCTCTGCCCACCAGGGCCCGCCTCTCCGCACATTGAACTGCTGACGGAAGCAAGGGACTAATGCGCCGGTGCGGGTAGGGCCCCGCGGTGCGACAGATGGCCCACCTCTGAGTGCACGAGACTTCCATGGGACACTTTAGATCTGAACCATAACAGGATAAAAAGCTGTTGCCCAAAGAAACATCTAAATTATAGGTAATTTTAATATTGGGAACCCGGAATGCATGCAAGAATCCCATAAGTAGCTACAGAACTTTAAAATTTCCCTCTCAATATGGAATGAAAACAATGGTTCTTTTTTAGTAGTCAGCATATGCTTTGCACCAGTAGTTACATGTACTTACTCGACATCCTGTTTTTCCTAATTCTCTTATCAAACTTACTCTGATACCGCCACTCTATCGGTACCTCCTGGAGCTGCCCATTGTATTGGACCTGGCACACATGATTAGTCACGTCCTTCAGCATGTTTCTGTAGGGTCAGGGTAAGTTCAGTCTCCCCCAGTCTCTCCTAGCCTGTTCACATCCCATTTGTAATCTAGAGGTACCTGGTGGGTGTCTGCTGTGGCTTAGATATTACTAGGGATAGTTCTGAGTCTTGGGGGCGAACGGTGACTACCACGACAACAGTAGCCGTTTTAGGGTTCCCTAGTGATCGCGCATTTCTTGGCTTGATTTGAAGCGACGGTGGGGGTAAGTGGGAAAATCCTGGAGACTCAGAGACCCAGGATTTGGGAATCCAGGGACCCCAGTGTACATCCCCACTTGTCTATCTTTCCCGTCCTCTACGAAGACAGAAACATGGGGATGACCCGTGTGAAATCTGAAGCTGGCAGAGGATGAAAGCCAATTGCTAACTGCGTTAAATGTAATTTCAAGTTACTGTGGGGTTTTACTATACCTGGGTGAGAATTGCTACGTTCTAGAGAACAGATGCTTACAACTTTATAAAGTATGCCAAGTGGCTCTCCCAGATCCCCAGTTTACACTCCCACCTGTCCTGCATGAATGAGTTCCGCTTTCACACACTCTTGGCAACATCTGGTGTTTGCAGACATTTTTACCAATGTGATGGGTGTGAAGCGGTGTCTCGTTCAGGCTTTAATTTGCATTTCTGTACTCTTCGAACATCTTTTCATATGTCATTTGGGTTTGGTCATTTGGGTTTCCTCTTCTGTGAATTGACTGTTCATATCTTTGCTTTAAAAACAAAACCGGTCTCATGTTAGGCAAGTGCTCTACTACTAAGCTACGTATGTCTCAGCCCTTAAAAAAAAAAAAAAGATTGGATCTTGCTGAACTGCCCAGGCCGGCCTCAGATTTCAAATCCTGCCTAAGACGTCAGAGTCGTCAGAATTACAGGCATGGGCCACCTTTTCTAATTTTGTGCAGGATTTGTATATGCCCATTAAACCAGGCTTGTAGTTGATTATTCTTATCGCCTATATCCTTATTAAATGTTCTTTATTTCATTTGTGAGTGTGATTGTGGATTCATTCGTGTCTTCTAGTAATTCTAGGATCTTTTGTCTTGCTAATACAAAGTTAAGTATTTCTCTGAGGCCCTGTGAATTGTTCGTTACTATTATGTAATAACTTTATCACTAATGTTTTTCGCTTTAAGCACTAAGGTCAATAGAACTGTGCCAGCGTTCTTTGGTCTTTGATATGCTTTGTGTAGCAGTTAAGGATGTGTTCAACTGCAAAAAGAAAATGTGACTGCAGTTGCTTAAATGGGGGAATTTTTTTCCTCGAATAACAAGATTGGACATAGATATGGGTCCATCTGTTCAGAAACTCAGACTGTTTATGTTTTCCCGTGTACCATTCCCATGTGCAATGTCTCATCACCATGCCTGTGTTCGCCCCGTAAGGCTTTCTGAGGGGGAGCGGATAAAGAGAACCACCCTTATTTGTGGGTGGTTCTGATGTCACTGCAAGCGCTCCCTTTCCTAATCCCAGTCTCTGACACATGCTTGCATCTGACGTCACCTCGCATCTCTCGGAACCACGGAGGCAGGTCTGTGGAGCCACAGTCTGCAAATGACTTCCTTTCTGTTTCATATTAAGAGTGATTACCATACACTAGACGGTTCTAGTGCTTCCTAGGGACCCTAGAACAATACACTAGTATGCCTAAGGTTTGATCTGTGCTGACATTTAAAAAGACATGTACCTACATTATAAGCCCTTCTTATTTTATAGAAGAAAAATATATATAAGAAATAGACCTCTCAGAGTTCAAACTGAAAAAAGAAGGTGACTAATTGTATTTAAAGCAGGAATTTTTTTTTCTTTAAAGAGATCGGAATAAGTGTTCTATTCGAATTACTAGGTTAACCGGTATAAGCAGAGCCTGGCGCCTAATAAATACTCACTGAATGACTGCACTGTGACCTGGGCATTTTCTTTGAGGCACCGGGACTGCTCACCCGGTTCTGAGAGCCTGTGGTCGTCCTCAGCCCTTGTCCTACCCAGTGTCATTGGACAGAAGCTGGATGCTCGCGAGAGTGTGTTGTGGGAGACCGCGCGGGTTTTCCTTTCCAGGAGCACGTGTGTGTGACTTCATGTTGGTCTCCTAATAAACTCTACATCTCACTTATCATCTGGATCGAAATACTGCATACACGTAAGAACTCTTGAAAAGGAACAGGTTTTTGAAATTCATAGGTGTTCCATGCCACTGTTTTTACAATTTTTTTCCTATATGACTTCTTTATATTTGACTGAAATTCTTCTTTCCTGTGGTTGAAACCTGTTTTTCTCTTCACTGATCAAAAAGAGCTTGTGTCTTTCTAACTAGTCAACCTTTACAACCTTATGTTTCAAAACTCACTTTTCCTTATTCTCTACACATGATCATTTTCATTTTCTTAATTTTTCTCATAGATTTTTCAAATAACTTCTCTCTGCACTATGCAGCTCCAATTTAAACTTCAAATCTCTTATTACTATTGTAATTTATAGGATCATTTCCGTTTCCAAACTTGAACTCATTAAATGGAATTTCGGTTTTGTCGTGTTTTAACTATTGTAAAATAATCTTTCAGCCATGGAAATAAGGAAGTATTTTCCTGCCGGGGAATAAAACTGGCCGTGGATTGGTTCTTGGAAAGAGGCCACAAAGACGTTACGGTTTTCGTTCCTGCTTGGAGAAAGGAGCAGTCCCGACCCGATGCGCTCATTACAGGTGAGCTCCCTGCGGGGGCTGCTTGGCCCTGGCTTTGTGTAATCCCGTGCAGGCACCTGGCGCTCAGGTGATCTGAACTTTCTGTGGATTTAATCTGTGTGACTTCATTCTCTCGAGTGTAAGATTAAAGTTGGTTTTGAGTTTGAAAATATCTTACTGTGTTAACTAAACATTCATCTTTGCCATATAAATCAGGTTTATTCACTTATGTTGGAAACAACAACTTCAATTTTTTTAAATTCCAGCTGGCCACATTGGTACACACTTGTAATCCAGCGCCTTGGGCAGCTGAGTCAGGAAGACTGTAAGTTCGAGCCTAGCCTGGACAACTTGGTGACTTGCCAAGACCTTGGGCGCAATCCTTAATACATAAAGAAGAAAAGAAAGCTGATTTTCAGAGACAGGCTAAGAGTTAGGAGACCTCTTCCTGCTTCCCGATGTACTAGCCACAGGACCCTGAGCAACACGCTGAGTATGTCTGATTCCCACTTCTCCCCTCGGCTACCTGAAATTAGATGAGGTAGGAGGTGCACTCTCGTGGCTACAGGCCAGAAAAGACCATAGCACCCTCAGGTATTCTGTCTCCTCTGGAAGAAGAAATGAGCAATCCCAGTAATTAGTATTCATATTTTATATTATCCTGTACACTTTTCAGGCAGAGATGTTCTCTGTAATTATTGTTAAACATTTTATTCACCTTTAGTGACTCACAGTCATTATCCACCACTTCTTTTCCTTCTGTCTCCTTCTAATATTAACAAAAACTGTGAGGAACCTGTATAAAGAAAATTCTAAAACTTTTCAAGTCAAAAACATATGTTGTACGTAAGGGAAAGATTAAGACTTTTATTTTATCTGCAACTGTTGAATCATTGTTAAAATAGGATAAGATGAATAGGGAAGTAATGGTGCAGTCCAAAGCCACAGCCTCAAACCATAGCCTGTGCAATAAATGCAAAGTGGAGAGCCAGGCGCGGTGACACCTGTCTGTAATCCCAGCACTCAGGAAGCTGAGGCAGGAGGATCACTGTGGGTTCAAGGCCAGCCTGGGCTACATAATGAGCTCAAGGTCAGCCAGAACTGCATAGTGAGACCCTGTCTCAGAAAACTAAAACAAAAGCAAAGTGAAGAGCTGGCATAATTCAACCAATAGTACCAAAGTCTTGGAGTAATTCTTTAGAAAAACATACTTGTCTAGAGTTTTTTAGATCAACAGGTTGATAAACACAAAGCTGTTACTAGTATCCAAATAGTTAAGATAATAAGAATTAGACAACTCTGGCATGCCAAATAAGGATAAAATCCAGCCTCAGTAAATAAATGCAAATCTAAACAACTGCTATTTTTCACCCATCAAAATAACATTAAAAAATTGATAACCTCCAGAGTTCTAAGGAAGCTACTAATAAACTTCTGTGCAAATGTAAATTGTTCCAACCCTTCTGGAAAACATTTGGTCTTAAAATGTTAACAGCGTAGTCCTCCCTTATTCAGCCTTCCTCTCTCCACAGTTTTAGTTGCCCAAAGTCCATTGTGGTCCAAAAATATTAAATGGAGACTAATGGAGACTTCCAGAAATAAGTAGTTCATACATTTTTAATTAAGCACTGTTCTGAGTAGGGTGCTGAAATCGCACGCTGCCCTCCCCACTCTGCCCGGGACGTGAGTCATCCCTTCTTCGCTCAGCTATCTAGCGCTCCGTGCGCCTCACCCGTTACTCGTGGCTGGCCTTTTCATGCTGTTAGGCTGACTGGTGCAGTGTGCGTGCACAAGTGAGTCTTACTTTGCTTAGTGATGGCCCCAGAGCTCAAGAGTTGTGCTGGCCATTGGGGTGCGCTGAACAGAAACTGAAATACCACTGCCTATAAGTGAAAAGGGACAAGTTCTCAGTAAGGAAAGAAAATACACTGTCCGCTGATGTTGATAATCTGTGATAAGATGTTTTGAGAAAGACAGGCCATGGTCTGTAGCACTTTTAACAGTGTATTATTACAGTTGTTTGCTTTTATTCTTATTCATATTGTTAATTTTTTCTGTGCCTAATTTATAGACTGAGCTTTATCACAGGTATGTGCATAGAGGAAAACACCGTGTGTGTGTGTGTGTGTGTGTGTGTGTGTGCACGTGCATATGTGTCAGGAGAGACCTCGTGTGTGTGTGTGTGTGTGTGTGTGTGCACGCTGGTGCACATGCATATGTGTCAGGAGAGACCTCATAACCCCACAGCTCAGAGACAATTGCTGTTAACATTTAGTGTTCTTATTTTTGTATATATTTTTAAATGTTAAAGTTTTTAGATTATAGATTCAGATGAATATGTTTGTTAATCTTCTGTTCATTTAACAAATACTTAATAAGCACTAGCTATATTATCTTATTAAGCATATATTTAGGGCATGGTACTATATGTGTTTTTAGGCCTCCACTTTTGGGGGGGTCTTGGAACATATACCCCATGAGTAAGGGATGACAATTGTACTCTTGGATCTACTAGTCCCATTTTAGAAATAAGCCCCCCAAAAGTAAGTAGAGGTACAGACAAATATTTATAGCCCAAGGTATTCATTGCAGAGAAAATATGAAAAATACTGTACACAGTCATTTGAAGAATGACTCAAGAAGTTAAGATGTATCTATATAATAGAATATGTATTAGAATGTTTAGGCAGAATTTTTATTGGAAAGTGCTCTGTTACCTAAAAGTCAGGTTTTATTATTCCATACACACACACACACACACACACAAGTAAAAAGAAAGAAATACACAAGTGACCAGAAGGAAATGCACCAACATTAACAGTATTGCCTATGAGCTGTGGTTTTATGAGGTCTTTATTTCTCCCTGTTTCTTAGTAATTTTACTTTCCTAATTTTCTACAGGGACCTTGGAACACTTTGGTAATCAAGGGTGGGGGTGCTTAAAAAAGAAAAGCAGTGCTTACGTAAATGATTTGCAGTCTTATTAAGCAGGAAAGGAATATGAGCTCAAGGAGGGAAAATAATAATACACAGCACGAGGGGTAGCTGAGTTTGAGTTTAAAATACCAATGTGGTGGGTCTCTGGAATACATCAGCATGCAGTTTACTTTGAAAAATACCAGAACTATTATCAAAGGATTTTAAGTGTTTTCTTCCCCAAGGTAATAATTTTCTTGAGTAAGGTTCTCAACTGGATAACATCTGATAAATCAAATAGTCCAGTATTCATTGCACCAAAAAAAAAAAAGACTTGATTAAAAAGAAGTTAGTTTTCAGAGTCGTAAATTCAGACTAGCACTTTGTCTAATCTTCCATTCATTTAACAAATACTTAACAAGCACTAGCACTGTATACAAGTTAGCATTGTTTATGCGTCCTTTCACCCTCATTAGCTGTTCCATAATGCAAATTAATTAAGACGAGAGGATGACTGTGAGGTTGCCATGCTGACTGCTCCATTCTCTTTGTTTAGGCTCAGGGCCTATCTAAATAACTTCGCAGATAAGGTTATTACCCTGGATTACTCATGAGCAGAATGCAGTGAATAAACCAAAGACTTCAAAGTATACATCTTTGAGTAGCTCATTTGTGCATTTGTTACACTAACATTTACTGAGCATCTACTGACGTGTTTCATGTGCTAACAGTAGATATAAGATTAATAGACATGGTGCCTTTCCTCGAACTGTTTATCAGAGAAGCACACAAAGTAATTAGAATGTGACGAATTCTATTGCTGAATCTGGGCTTTTGGCTTTGTATTTGTTTTCTGTGGTTTATAAGTGAAATCAACAATTAATCTATTAAAATTAAGTTGAAGAGCACCCTGTTTATTCAGAGCTGGCCAGGCCCTGGGGAAGGTCTCTATCTGTGTCAGCTCATTTGCTCTGATAGCCTGTTCACTGCGTTTGCAGACGTGAAGAAACAGGCCAGATCTGGACGGCCAGATGGGACAGGAGCGAAACCTCAGATTTATCCATGGTGTGCTGGTTCTCTCACCCACATTTCTTTCACTAATGCTTGGCTTTGCTTTTCTAAACCAAAGTGCTGAGTGAACTCGCTGGTCAGAGACGTCTTCACTGTGCCAGCATTACTGCTGAGCAGATCACTCTTCCACTTCCTGCAGTCCCTGCTTACGTTTCTGCTGTGGTACAGCTCCACCCTTGCTTACCTGCTTTACCTATTTGTCTGATAGGTAAGAAAGCTCTGTGAGGAGAGGTCATTCTTAACCTTAGCTGTCATTGATACCTAACACAGCGCATGGGACAGACATGTAATTGTTAGAGCGGAATTTTAAAAAATTAAAAACTGGTGTTTGTTACTGCAGTTTTTCAGAAGAAAGGACATGGAACACACACTAGCCAAGTTTGTAACAACGCTTCTAACCTTGTTGCCTGCTTTTTAAGATTTGTCCCCTTTACTGCCTCTACTACTTCTGCTACACTTTTCAGATTCTCTGACCATCACATCTTTAGAAAAAAATAACCCCAAAATACACAGTCTCAGGAGGGAAACACCTGTTTTCTCACACCCGAACCCTACCCAAGTGCTTTGCTGTGATGCCATTGTGCCAGGAATGCGTAGCAGCTCTGGTGGCAGTGCTTGAGGCTCCAGCTCTAAAGCAAAAGCTTCCTGGAATGAGAATCAGATGCCTTCATTGTGTTGCAAATTTTTTTTTATTTATTTAAACGAGTAAAAGGAGGATAACATAGTCATAGAGGGATTTACTGAATTACAGACAAAGTGGTAGGACATTATCAATGGTTGTTATTTTACCTATTGGTATCTTCAAGATAGTTTCTCAAGAAAACAAATAGACAAATAATAGGGAGTTACAGACAAAAATGGTGAGAAATTATCAATGGTTGTTGTACTATACTTTGGTATCTTCAAAGTGGTTTCTAGGGAAAACAAATAGAGCTGTACATGAGTGATCAATTAAATAATCATTGACTATTCTCAATGGTTGTTGAAAACACATAGTAATAAACATACATCCATTTACGAAATAGCATAGGAATAATAGAAACATTACAGAGTTATGGACAGATTGGTAGTAAATTATCAATGGCTGCTGTAATACATGTTGGTATCTTCAAAGTGGTTTTTCAGGAAAACAAAGATATGCAAGAAATATCTAACAAGTAGTTACAGCCTGAGGGTTGTGAAAAATAGCAGATTACCTCCTCATCAGTGACTCCTTTCACTGAGGTGTGACAGCTGGAAGGAAGGCCAGGATTGAAAAGAAGGACCGAGAGACTAGCACCAGTGTCCAGCAATAGGCTGTTTACTTTTTCCTCTATAGTCATGATTATGTGGGGCTCCTCCTTGAAGATAACGGTCTGGCCAGAGGGAAAAGGCAAAGTATGCCCTGGGCCCCTTCTTTCCTGTTGGACCAGCTGGTAGGAGGGGTCTGAGCTCTGGGGCCTTTGCTTCAGAGGGCAGTCCGACCTCTAGTGGTCACCTTGACAGTCAGGGCATGGCCTAGAGGGGTTCTTAGGCAGTCCCTCTTGAGATGGCCTGGCTTTTGACAGCAGTAGCAGATGAATGTAGTCAATCAGTTCTTCTTGGGGCCCCAAGAATCAGACTTAAGGTCTGTTTCTCTTAGTGCTGCAACAAAGACAGCTGTTTTTTCTCGGTCTCTTTGTTTTCTCTCCGTGGCTTCCTCCTCCTCTTGGCTATAAAATACTGAGGAGGCAATTCTTACTAACATCTCAAGTGTGCTATCTGGGGCAAAAGCCATTTTTTGTAGCTTTTTTCTACTATTTGGGGCTGACTGAGTAATAAACTTATCTGTAAGAATAGTTTCTCCCTCTACTGAACTGGGACCCAGGGAAGTATGCTTTATCCATGCCTCTCGTCTAAGAAAGCAGAGAGGTGTTCTCTCCAGCCTCCCAGCGCATTGGGATCCCACAACCACTTAGTGTCCCCTCCCCAGCCAACAGGCGGCAGGAACATGTGGAGGAAGTCCTCTGCCCACTAGTCAGTCTCAGCACCATGAGGTGCAAAGTGTCCCAGGCAGGTAACCTAGACATGTACCTTCTCCATGAAAGTGGTTCTTCAGAATCTGAATATTAGGCACCCATGTAATCCATGAAGTCTTGGTGCAGACCTCTCCGGAGCTCCACTTGCTTCTTCACCACAGCCTGTACAGTTAGGGGAAGAATGGCCTCCAGGGGGTCTCCCCAGGTATTGCACAAGGTCCTCCTGGTTTCCAGCTCCTGAATGGCTCCTGCATCTCCGGTCAGCTCAACCTCTGAGTTGTTGGGCATCCGTACTCGTGTTCTCTGAGTCCTTATTCATCAGCTGCTGCTCCGCTGACTCTGGATCTTTCTGGCTCTTCAGGCAGGGCCAAGAGTGACCCGCCATGTGGCATGTTTTCCTAGAGGTTGCTCCATGTTGGGATAGTTCATGCACGTCTCCAGGCAGGCCTCTTATGTCAATGCTTCTCTGTGGCATGGTGTTTCTTGACTGCATGGCAGCGGCCAGCCCAAGGGCTGGCGCATGTCTCCTTGCTGCTTCCTAGGCACCTGCTGTCTGCCTTTCTGGGCGCCCGCGTGGCCCCCCGGAGCCATTGTGTTGCGGCTGTGTTGCAAATTTTAAACTCTTCATTTTTTACTACTTTTTAAGCCTTTATTATTGAAATTCCTAAAAGAAAAATATTGGGAATTACAAACTATGCTAAATCTATAAACTATAAATCATAATCTCCTAATTAAATGATTACATATATTATAGTTCATATAGAAACTCATATTGTGTGAAACTTGCTGTGCGTGTTATATGTATTTATTCCTGAAGTTCTACCCCTATTACTCTTGCAGATCAAGAGATCTTACGCAAGTTGGAGAAGGAGAAAATCCTCGTGTTCACACCATCCCGGAGAGTCCAAGGGAGGCGAGTGGTGTGTTACGACGACAGGTTCATTGTGAAGCTGGCTTTTGAGTCAGATGGTATAATTGTATCCAATGATAACTACAGGGACTTGGCAAATGAGAAACCCGAGTGGAAGAAGTTCATAGATGAGCGATTATTAATGTATTCATTTGTCAATGACAAGTAAGTAAACCAGTGATACTGCTTCCCTGAAAATACGTGTATAGTTATCCCAGACACTGCCGCATAATCTTTCTCTTGTTACCATGGGCTAGACCTAAGACAAGTTTCTGATTTCCCCAGTAATCATCAGTGGAAATTGGGATAATTGCAGACTTGAACTGCAGAAGCCCCAGATGAGCTCAGGCCCCCAATCACTGACCCTGCACTGCAGCAGAAGCTTCTAGACTCTCTCTGAGGGCTCTGTTAGCAGCTGACAGAGGAGAGTTCCCATCTCCCCGCCAAGAAAACCACCTTTTGAAGCCAAGTTGGAGTACTGACAGCTTACTAAATGCCTGTTTTTTAAAGCTATATAAATGTAAGACTCTAGCCATGAGCAGAGAATACAGGTTGGTGAATGGAGAAATGATACAAACAAGGGTGATCATGAGAAAGGTTTGAGCTATGTAGAAAAAGTTCCCTGAGTAGTCAGAAATGCAATCTGTAAAAAAATTTAAAGAAGAAACATAAATGCAATCTGAATCTAAAATGTTTATTTTCTTACCTGTTTAATTCACAAAAACATCTTTTATATGCCTGGGGGAGGAAGGGGAGAGACAGGGATGGTAAAAGGAATTAAGGTGAGTCCTGTACGTGTGCAACTACACACAAGGAATCAAACATTGTGTACTGCACACGTGTACAAACAAAGGGGGAAGGGATTAAGAGACGGAAGAAGGGATGAGGGAGGGAAGGGAAAGGGGTGAAAAAGGAATTAAGATGTATTATTTTCATGTACCAACTCCCCACAAGGAATGTAAGAATTACGTGCTACCTACATACACTAATTTTGAAGAGATACACGGACACTGATGTTCAGTTTAACAGAGGTTATTGGATTTAAAGTATGTTTACCTTCTCAATCCAGTAATGTCAGTTCTTGTACAATATAATGAAGATAAAAGAAAGATCAGATACATTCTTTTCAGTATTATTTATAATTGTAAGAATTCAAAGGCAGCTAAACATAGAACAGAGAAATCAATTTACATATCCTACTGGAATATTAGTCATCTAGAATAATTACTGTGGAGGCTGTTAAACATGGAAAAATGTTCTTATGTTAAAAAGACAAAGCATAAAACACAGACATAGAATAAAATATTAAAATTGTATACTCTGGTTTCTCTTCAGATCGCATAAATCACCTTTTAAAATTTTGAGATTGAGTGATTGTCATCTATTTCTTATCTTTAACCTTGTGATACTTTATAATAAGAACACTGTTACCTAGCCATTTTAGCTCCCCCTTGCACTATTCTTATATTTCTTATTTTGTGGGTAAATACTTGGGCTTTCAAGTTCAAACAGTAGTATGAGTAGTAAAATTAACATTCCTCAGTCGTCACTTTTATTCCTTACGCACACTGTGAATTCTTTCCACCGCTGGACAGTCTATCCAAACTAATAAGCTTACTTTATTAAGATTTTTTTCTATCTCATGTGATAAGTCTATTACTGTAGTGGAGAGAGAGTAGCCTTCAGAGAGAGCTGTCCTTGAGTCCTAACTGTGCTATGAGATGGTAAACAACAGTTACTTAATTCTTCTGAATCTAAATGAGAAAACCTTATTAACCCAGTGTGGAAAGTACCTGACATGGGATTGATGCCTGGCAAGTCTCTCCCAGCGCCACCCCCCGGCTGCTCCGCCTCTGGCTCCCTGCTGCATGCTACTTCACCATGCTGACATTTACAGAGCTCTCCAAAATGTCACTGTAATTATTTCCTAAAATTCGTGGAAAATCCCAAGGTTGAGAGAAAGAAGAATTACTTAGAACATGCTAGATCAAAACTGTTCTGAATTAAAATGAATTGAGGTATACCTTAAAACATTTTATTTTGTCTTCATTAAGAAAGGAGTACTTTAGAACTGGGGATTTAGCTCAGTGGCAAAAGCGCCTGCCTGGCAAGCGCAAGGTCATGAGTTCGGTTCCCGGTACCGGAGAAAAAAAACCAAAAAAAAAAAAAGTACTTCATGTGCTAATGTTCTTTATCTTTTAAATGTTGAATCAAAACACTTGGATTAAAATTTCAAAGATGTACATTAGAGTGAGTAAATCTTTGTACTCTATCCTTAGATTTGTTTGTCAACCTCCTACTTAGGTATCATTCTTTATTATCTCCGGAACAGGTTCATGCCCCCTGACGACCCTCTTGGCAGACACGGCCCGAGTCTGGATAATTTCCTAAGGAAGAAACCTATTGTTCCTGAACACAAAAAGCAGCCTTGTCCATATGGTACTTTTTTACAGATATTTAATATTTGCCTTTAGGATACAATATATTGTTAAACTTTTGTTAATAAAGAACAAACATTTAAGATTTTGGATGACATAGAATCTGGTTCTTTTGATTACAGTTAAATTTAAGAAAATGTCTTAGCTGTGAAAAAGAATTGTTTTTGATTTCTTGGGCTCAATGCACATGCATTTTCCTGAATTAGGATGTGGTTTGAAACTAGTAAACTTGGGCTGGGATACAGCTCAGTGGCACAGCGCCTGCCTGGCAAGGGTAAGATCCTGAGTTCGATTCCCTGGTACCAAAAAAAAAGAAAAGAAATTGGTAAATTCTACATGGAGTTAGTTTTGGGGAGTGAGAATTTAGAATTCTTACATCTAGGCACAGATGAAGGGATGTGGCTTTATTACATCACAGCAGTACAGCAATTACAGTTACGCTTCAAACAAAATTTCCTACTGATTATAAAATCCTACTGAAAGAAAAGGCAGTCAAGAACTGAGACTGTGGGGTATGGGCCAGAACCTATGGAGGTGATCATCCCACCAGCTTTCTTACTGCCCTTGAGAGCCGGGAAGTGCAGACTGAGAAGTGACGCTTCTCCAGAGAAGCAGAGTAATACTTCGCTCATCTCCCTTTGGGCCTTTCTGGCTTTCACGGGTTAAAGTAGTAGCGCCACACTGACTTTTCAGGATCTGACGGTGTGCTTCTTTGCCTAACTGATTTTGCTCTTCACAGGAAAGAAGTGTACCTATGGACACAAGTGCAAATACTACCATCCCGAGAGGGGCAGTCAGCCTCAGCGGTCCGTGGCTGATGAGCTTCGTGCCATGTCGAGAAATACAGCAGCCAAAACTGCAAACGAAGGAGGACTGGTGAAAAGCAACAGTGTTCCTTGTAGCACTAAGGCTGATAGCACTTCTGACGGCAAACGAGGCGCTCCAAAGAGGCAGTCAGATCCGAGCATAAGGACTCAGGTCTACCAAGACCTAGAGGAAAAGCTTCCCACCAAAAACAAGTTGGAAACCAGGTCTGTACCTTCCTTGGTTAGCATACCGGCCACTTCTACTGCAAAACCCCAAAGCACTACATCTCTAAGCAACGGCCTTCCGTCTGGAGCTCACTTCCCCCCTCAGGATCAAAGGCCGCAGGCACAATACCCTCCCATGATGATGGCAGCCAAAAACCATGGAACGCCAATGCCTTACGAACAGTATCCAAAATGTGACTCACCTGTTGACATTGGATATTATTCCATGCTGAATGCGTATTCAAATCTGAGTATCTCAGGCCCACGAAGTCCTGAAAGGCGTTTCTCCCTGGACACAGACTATAGAATAAATTCTGTAGCTTCTGATTGCAGCAGTGAAGGGAGCCTGAGCTGCGGGAGTAGCGACTCCTACGTAGGTTACAACGACCGCTCCTATGTCAGTTCCCCCGACCCACAGCTGGACGAGAATTTGAAGTGTCAACACATGCACCCTCACAGCCGCCTTAACTCCCAGGCTTTCCTGCAGAGCTTCCACGACCCCTTGACCAGAGTGCAAAGTTACAGTCACGAAGAACCAAAGTTCCATCACAAGCCTCCTCTTCCACACTTGGCTATGCATCTGCAGCACCCTGCTGTGGGTGCCCGGTCCAGTTGTCCTGGCGATTACCCCTCGCCCCCGAGTTCCGCACACTCCAAGGCACCACACCTAGGGAGGTCCTTAATGGCCACCAGAATAGACAGCATTTCTGATTCTCGACTCTATGACAGTTCTCCTTCAAGACAAAGAAAGCCTTACTCCCGCCACGAAGGGCTGGGAAGCTGGGATAGGCCAAGTTACGGGCTGGATGCCTGTGGGTATCGGCAGACTTACTCCTTGCCTGATAACGCCACGCCCCCGTGTTATGAGCAGTTTACCTTCCAGAGCCTGCCTGAACAGCAGGAGCCCGCCTGGCGAATCCCGTACTGCGGAATGCCGCAAGATCCGCCAAGGTACCAGGACAACCGAGAGAAAATTTACATCAACTTGTGTAACATCTTCCCACCTGACCTCGTGAGGATTGTCATGAAGAGGAATCCCCACATGACAGATGCCCAGCAGCTCGCCGCAGCCATTTTGGTGGAGAAATCACAGCTGGGTTATTGAAAGATGATGCATCTTTGTGGTGTTTAATAGTTTTTTTGTTCAGCGGAAATGCTGAGGGAGGTTTGCTACAATAGCACATGTGATCTCCTTCTCGGCAAGGAGGTCATATAGTATCCATTTATGTGAAATACTGTATCATGGAATCTGTATGTACAGCCCCACATGGTGGAAGTATCACGGGATTGCTTTACATTCAAACTTTTTTTTAACATTTCCTTTTTAAAGCTCTATCCTTGGCTGGAAATTTATCCAGTTTGATTTAATAGATGTGTCTGTGACCTTTGATATTAATCTTTGGTGCATCAGGGGTTTATATGCAGCACTTTTTATCCTTGTTTCCTGTTTTATTAACCTGGTGTTTGTCTATCAACTGCAAGCAATTACAGTACCTTCAGAATGTGGAACCTTTGACGAGACCCAGCAGAATATTTTTTCAAGCCAAGCTTAATTCGAATCTTTTACAGCTTTTTAAGTTATTTTTATTTGGGGAAAGTGGGCTTCTTTGTCCTATAATCAGTATTTATAGAAACAAAGATATACTACAGCACTGACTTTATATTTAAACAAAATCTAAGTTACCAATTTATGCTGAAATGGGTAACATATATGTTAGAATGATTTACAATATGGCACTTTTATTGTTTTATTTTTGTTCGGATTTTTTTTCCTGATGAGAAATCAGTTAATTTAATGGTCAGTTTATAAGAAAGCAGATGCAATCAATGGAAAAAACTGTTTCCATTTTTTTTAAATGAGCAAAGCAAAAGCCGTAGCTGGTACAGTTAGCGCTTTCTTATCCAGCTATGGTGTGCTTCTATGGAAATGGGATCGAATTCCTAGATTCCCATGAATCTGTATTTTTAATGTTTGTTTTTTGTTTGGGGGCACAACAATACTGGATAAATAACCCTTTCTCAGTACTTGCCTGTTTTTAATGAATCTAATTATTCTCAATGCAATTTTATATTTAATATACTCTAGCTTTCCTGCTATTTATCAAGGCTGGCCTGAGATGGTTTTATGTGTTGAGGAGATGCAAGATTTATTGATACTGCACTATAGAAATAGTGATGGAGGAGTTGTAAATGGTAACTTAAAATTTTTGTAAGATAGTGTATATTTTCCATTTTCCTGAAGGTGGTTTTTTTGGAGGGCCTGTTATATTATTAAGGCCAGACTCTTGCCACAAATAGTGTAGTTTTTAGATACAGACTACTGTCTGTTCTAGTATTAGTAAGGGATATTTCTGGTTTCAAACTCAGGGGTTTTGCTGATTGCAGTTACATTTCTGCAGATTAGAAGATGGATTTTGCAGTTAGTAGCAGACACTTGTATGTTGAGAATTCGACTGTCCCTTCAGACTCTGAATTTTGCCTAGTGTCCTACGCACATTCAGATCTGTTTTTGTAGTCTGCTTGGACGTTGCAGTCGTTTAGGTTATTCCACACGCTACAGTCTGAAGTAAAGCCCTGAAAAACCAGAAAGTACCTTTCACTGTTGATACAAATTGTATCTTTTTAACTATAAGAACTATTTTGATTTGTAGATCTAGTTAAAAACACAAATGTGTAACTATGATTAGACTTTTGGGCAACATTTTATCCCTTATTTAAATACAAATTTTTAAAAGAAATTTGAGGTCTATAATAGAGTAGAAAATAAAAGTAACAATTTAGGTAAATAAAGGTGTCTGTCTTAGTTTTATATAATATATTAAAATATATTCAATTTATTGGCATTTTCTTTCTTCTAAAACTTACCTAGTGTGAACTTTACTAAAATAAAGGTAAAATGCTGCCTGAAAAATAATGTCCAAGCATCTTTGACTAGGATAACATTTTCACTACTTGTGTGACACTGTGTGTTGCATGGAGTAGGATTTGGGTATACAGTAAATGCTTCTAAAAGGCATTGTGCATATTGACATATCCAATAATCTGAACCGTGTTCAGCAAACCTAATTCAGGAAAGTGATGTTCTACACAATTATTGCTGTCGTGCTTGCAGGGAGTGTGGCACGCATCTGTACCCCAAGAGAACACGGGTGACGCCACACAAACCATGCTGGACGGGGTCTGTCCCAGAGTGACCCTGCTTGTGAAATTGTTCTCGATTTTTGTCGTTCATGATCTGTAGAATGAGCTTAAATGTACAGGTGAAGTGAGTACCAAAAAATAGGGTTACCAGTGTGTATTACCTTTAATTTTAGTCATATTTTAAGATATTGTAGTGTGAAATCACTTCTAAATTATACATGTAGTTTTGCCTCCATTTTCTTCAATGTAGCATTTTAATTACTTTAAGATCGCTAAACTTTACTAAGTGGTTTTAAATAAGACCTTCGGTTAAATGGCTGTGACTTTAAATTTGACCTTCCAATATATTTAGTTGACTGTTTATCATTATTTTTTGGATAAATAGCATCCACTGCCATCACATGTACTGAAGTGAATAGCTCTGAACTACCCACAGCATAAGTGTTCAGTTTAATTAGTTGTACGTTAAGAAGGAGCAGTTTTTTATGTCAAGAGGACAATTTCCCTGCCCCCCTTTTTTTTGGAAGCACCAACATTGCTTTCAGAGCTTATGACTGAGAAAATAAGCTGACTTAGGTACAGCAAATTCTTGTTATTTACAGCAATAAGTAGAAGGAGTCCTTTACTTAATTAGATCCATAGCTGACTGCAGACCTTCATTTTAGCCAGAACCTTCTTTCTAGCCCCTAATCCCTGTTTACCAGACCCGCTAGTACATAACCAGGATGAGGTGTGTTAATAAGTGGTGAAGTTGCCAGAAGCGGTCAGCTGGTGGAAGACAAAGGACTCAGACTGGAATATTCTGCCCCTGAATAATCAATAGTTGACGGTACTTCGGACAGTAACTAGCCAGTCCGCTGCCTCTGTGTCTCGGTCCAGAGGGAATAGCACCCGACTGGCCGAACACTGGCCGTAGCGTTTCCTCATTTCTTACATGTGATGCAGATATTTTCAGTCTCAACTTTATGATCTCTATCCTGATAGAGTTTGTCACTGACCTACTAATTAAAAGAAACGCTCACCAGTATGAAATATTTGATTCTGGTGGAAACCTAGACTTTGTGTTTTTATGAAAACAGATTTGTTACCAAGTCTGTGGTCTGAATAAGCAAGAGTAAGATTTAGAACCACTTTAATGGAAAGTAATTCTTCACTGGTTTTATTCCTTGTATTTTTAAAAACTTATTTTGATAATTTTAGTAGAATGTGTAATTTTAAAATACACACAAAAACTTTAACGTAGTATGGATTATACAAATAATTATTTAACATGTCTTTTATGGATGTATCTATATGTAAATAGTAATATATTTATAAAACAAATATCCTTTATGTTGTAGTCTCTGCTACAAGGGCGGATGCCTGGGTGGGTGGCTGGGTGGGTGTGGCTGTGTATGTTTGTGTGTTTATGTTTTGAAAACTTGCAAGCTGTTTTTCCCAATTTAATACTGTAAAGTATATTTGGTTTTGTTGTTCTTTCTGCTTTCCAATTTCCTTACTCAAGATAAAATAAGATAAATACAGTTTTCTGGCCATTCCGTTGCTGTGTGGCTAACCCATTTAATTATTCTCTTAATTCCTGGAGAATTCCTGCTTGACCCAGAATCAAACATACTATGACTAGGGATAATGTGTATGTTCCAAGTGTACTGAAGATGAAAACTTAGCTGGGTTGCTAAGTTTCCAAAATACATACCAATAAATAAAATGAAATATAGAAGAAGTTGGAATATACACACAGATTAAGAGAAAGCAGAGTGTTAACAAAAAGTAAAGAAGCTTAAAGTACTTTTATTGGTCTAGGAAAACCACCTAGAGCTAGCGTTGACCAACTTTCTGTATCTTCACATAGTAAAGAATTAGCTTTTTAGAATCGAAATGATCTCTTAAGAACTGCTCATATTTGGCCTATGGACCATTCCTGATCTCTGCCGCAGAGGAGAAAAACGGGCACATTAAACAGTAAATTCTGTTACTGCATATGTTAATGTAAGAAATAATTGTATTTCAACTGACAAAAGAAAATCTGGTAGTTATTAATAGTCTTCAAAAGTTGATTGTGAGACAGTCATATGATGCACTTGTGTTTTAAAACTGGTCACACCTCTTATTTATTAGAAATATTTCTTGTGTTTAATCAGCCACAAAAATCTGTAGAAAAGATACTTTAAAAGTGTTAACATTTATTAATGAATTTGGGGTTTCTGTTAATAAATGGGACTCCTTTACCAGTTTTAATTTTTTTAATGGCCCTCATGGACCATTGTTGTATTTTGAAAGTTAACATATAACTAGCCACAATTTTTTTGTAAAGATTCCATTTATCAATTACCTTTTTCTGTTATCTTTCGCACTGAATAAATGACACATCTGCCCCTTTCAAGAAGATAAACATACTGTCATTTCACATTTTAGCTTTTTCTGTAAAATTAAGAATTCTGACTAATTATTGCTTTAATGTGAGTGTATTTGTTACATTGTGATTCTTTGTAAGAAACAAAGTGTATCTCGCCTTTCCCTAGCTGCATGTTTAACACAGACTTCTTTAGACATCTTAGCACTGTTCCGTGGTGAGTGACATTCTTCATATGATTGTGGATAATTCTGAATTCATTGGGAGTACACACTGCAGAGCGTGTTCATTCCCTATGCTTTGTGCATGGTGTTACAAAAATTATATCCACTTAAGTAATTATATTCTCTTTAAACTGGAATACAACTCTAGCTTTTAACCAGTGTTTGTTTTAAATGGCTACTTCATTTCTTTTATGTTTTCTGTAAACCTGCTTGTTACTCCTGTTATACTGCTATTATTAGAGGTGGCTTTTCCCCTAAGATCCTTAGTCTTTTATATTTAAAACAACTGAAGAATTTGATCATTTGGAGTTGAAAACGTCTATGCATGTTTTTATTTAGCTTTATAAAAATTTGTGGGGGGCTGGGGATTTAGCTCAGCGGCAAAAGCGCCTGCCTGGCAAGCGCAAGGTCGTGAGTTCGGTTCCCGGTACCGGAGAAAAACCAAAAAAACAAAAAACAAAAAAATCAAATGTTTTGTGGGATACGCTTATACTAAACTTATAGTTAGGAGCACACTTCTGTTAAAAACTATTCACTGTAC